TCTCAGTCTTCAAGACAGAGGTGTAATTTAAGAAGGCACTATATGAGACAACACAAGTTAGACGAAGCCACAGCTGAGGAAATAGTGTCCAAAACCAAGTTTTCACAAAAAGATGAAGCTAAACCTACTGACAAGGTTGTTGTCAACAGCAGTGACAGTCAATCGCAATCATCTATTGAGAAACAGCTTGAAAATGGGTCTACTGAATATTCTGTTGATGCTAGTGTTAATGAAACAATTTATCTTGCACAGTAAGATTGATTATTTTTGAAAATTTGATAATTTCGTTCCGACCACTTCAAGAAAAAGAAAGAAACTTAGTTTTTTTTTCAACACATTTTGACTACCTCAACGAAACCTCGTATGGGGTCAAGTGTGGTGTCATATTGAAGCCTTTTTTTAATTAGCCCAGGTTTTTTTGAAGCCCTTATAGTGGTTTTTCGCATTCGGAGCAATTTTCTCTCGTCGTCAAATAAACATGTTTAACTTTTTCCGTTTTTAGACTAATTGTTCGACTGAGTTTTCAATAATTTTATTCCTCGAATCTAGTGATCGGCTGAAATGATTTTTCAATTTCTAAATGAAAACAACCGAAAAAATGGGGGATAAATATCAAGAAAATTTTTTGAGTGGTTTTCTAGGTCATTAATATTATTGCAAAAATAAGCTTGGTCGGAACATTCTGTGCTTCTTTTCAAGCACGGCCTATTTTTTTTTCTATCTTATCTTTGAACCAGTTTTCCAAGCTGTTTTTTTTTCTCAATATAATTTTCCGAGCGCTAATTTTGTAAGAATTCATAGCTTTTGTATGATTACGCACTTGGGTATTTTAGAAGTTGTATTATGTTAATTAAATTATACGACTTTTGATCAGATAGTAATCCAGCCCGTGAATTTTTTTAATACTGGTAGCCCATACTATCTTGTTTAAACTAGTGAGAGCAAGTGTCTTGTTATCGTGAACTGGACTTTTTTCCTGTCTGCCAGAAATTGAACTTACTTTATAAAATACTTTCAGATTAATTATTACTTCGTCTAGATGTTACACGGCTGCCTATGCACCCTTAGGCCTTTTCTTGAGGTTTAAGGAATTTTTATTGTAATTGCAAGTTTTTTTTGTAACTTTATTCTGCCTGAATGGTTTCGTCCTTTTTTTATCCGCTTAGTCATCTTAAAGGACTGTGGTTCTTAGTCATAGTTGATTATGGTTCTTAAAAACAATTCATGTCGTTTGTGGTATAAAAGTTTGTGGGCAATTAGTATGTTGCTTCCATGGCCCTTTTTTAATACTAATGATAAAAATGCAAAAAAGGAGCAAAACTGAGTTCTGGTACAGAAATTGTTTTTTTTTTCCAATTCTTATTTCAGTTGCCGAAACTCAGTTCTGCGAAGCTTCTATTAGCTGAAACGCCCTTGATTTAATTTTGATGGAACTAGGGTCAATAAAGAATTGACGAGGATTGAAAATCATTTAAGTCTTTTTAATCAAACAGCTATTTGAAAGTAAACTTGTCGTGCCATGTGTAATCCTATTTTACATGGTTAAGCACTGAGCTTACTGTATATATTTAAGCTCCTGTCTAAGCCATTAGAGCTAAGCTCTGCTCCTACAATTGAGCGCTATTATTAATCAGTTGATATTAAACTAGTATTGTTTGTGCGTCCAACATCATACCAGCCTTTAGTTATAACACTTTACGAAAGCAAGTGTTTTGTTATCGGGAACTTGACCTTTTTTCTTGTAACCATTTTTTTCAAATCTTACGGATCAATTGAGCAATCCCCCACCCCCCGTAATGACCAATTGAGCTCTCCCCCCCCCCCCCCCCGAGCAAAACCGGTAAAACGCTGCAAAAAGACGTCAGCAAACGCAAGTAGATGGTTAATATTTCTAGCACGCAATCAATTGACCGACTGAAGTTATTTTATATGAGTATCGAGTAAAATTTTGAAAAAGAAAAAAATCAAAATTTATTTCACTTTTTTGCATTTTTTTGTTTGGGTGACCATTGCCTCATCCAGCAAAGCGACTGACGAGGATTGGTGCTCTAGCCTCGTATCTGAATATCAAAAACTGTTCTCCGCAGCACATTATAAATGTTTTTTTTTCCCATTTAGGACATAAAAAGGCGCTTTATGCAACTAAAGTCGCCTTAGTTTTGATCCTTTTTTCACTCTGAATGTAATATTTGAGCTTTGATATTGTAATTTTTGGCGTTTCACTAACGTTGAAGAATCTGTTTTATGATTCCATATGATTCAAACAACTTTGAAGTCGTTGTAAACATGTCTCAAGTACCTAAAGTTTCTGACAGCACAAGCAAAATCCGTGATGTGGAAACTAAGTCGACAAAACTGGAGCAGACAAACAAAAGTACGACAAAGCAAGTAAGATAGGATCAATTGAGCAATCTCTATCCCCCCCCCATTCTCGCGTGGGAGGGAGATAGCCAGAGATAGCTCAATTGATCCTATCTTACTTGCTTTGTCGTGCTTTTGTTTTTCTGCTCCAGTTTTGTCGACTTAGTTTCCACATCACGGATTTTGCGTGTGCTATCAGAAACTTTCAGTGTACTTGCAAGTGTTGTTCAATGTAGTTTCAGGGGGACTTAAAACTTCGTAGATCTTTTTTATATTATTTTCGGCTCAGTGTGTCTGTTGAAAGATTGTCGACTTTGTTGCCACATCACGGATTTTTAGAAAGAATAATATTTCATTTTTTTTTCGTCAAATTTTGTCGCGGTTTTAAAAAATAGGAAATGGAGAGTGAACTAACTTATATATATTTTTTTGTAAGTCGAGTCTTAATGTAACATGCTGTTTTTTTTTCAAATTGTGTTTCTTATTATGTTTGGTCCTGGATAACATCCTGACAGACAATAATTGTAATACAGCCTATCCTGGCTGAAAGTCTATTTTCTAAAACGCTTTCAGTTTCGCAGATATCGCATAATTTTGAATTAGAAAAATCAAGAAGCTAAACTTTTCTTGTATTTACAACTATATATTTTATGATCGTTCTGACTGGCTTAATTACATGGTGACAGACAAATATTGTATTTAATTCACGGGGAAATATCTATTAAACTTGGGAAAATTGGGAAATTATCTTAATTGAAAAATAAAATATAAAATTTTCTTACCTTTGTCATATTGAATTTTTTGTACTTTTTTCTAGTGTATCTAAAAGCCAGAATTTGTTTTAAACAAAACACCAAATACATTTCGGTGAAATTTTGGAGATATCGAGGTTTTTTTTGCATATAAACCAGAATGCACAAATTGTAATCGTACTAGTTTTGAATTTAATGCGAAAAGTCGTTTTTAGCCGCTGATATTTATGCTAACAAAAAGTTGCAGCACTGCGTAACTGGCCGAAAAACTTCACCTCTTTTATCCTTGTAGTTTTGGGGATAGTATAGCTATCTTAAAAAATAGCCGAGAAAGTAAGGAATTTTTTTAGTCCATGGAATTATTAACACTTGTGGTAACACAGAGACAGATAATCTTTATAGTAGCTCCTTTTTCCCGAAACTTTGGTATCTGAAATTTTTTTAATATCGCAATTTCTCGATAATTTTAGAAAAAAAAATAAGAAACAGGAAATTTGCTGAGAATTTTTTTCTCCTTTATTTCTGAATAATTTGGGTCCAAAATAATAATCCTGACAGACAGAAATTGTAGAAATGATTTTCTAACCTGAAAACTTGATGGCTCATTTTTTTTTGGAAATTTCGCAGTTTTCTTAAATATTATTTGAGAACGAAATTTTCTAATAAAGTTTTTTCGTTGTAACTTTTGATCCCTATGTTACAGCGCCGATAGGAAATCATTGTTGCACTGCCTGTACTGTCGAAAATTTGGCATGCTGAATGATTTTAGTTTTGGAGATATCGCTTTTTGAAAATACTGGAAAAGAGTTAATTTACTTATATAAATATTTAAAAAATTTTGGTAATTCGAGCTTGTCTTGCCTAAATCATTTTCACAGAAAACATTTAGCTGTAGATTTTTTTAAGTTTGAAAAAACCAAAAATAGAACTTTGATATCTCACTATTTATCTATCTATCTAGTATCTATCTAACTGTTTTTTTTTCAAGTTCATAACTGTGCGTTTTTTGAGATAAAAGATGACGGACAACAATTGTCGTACTGCCCAGCTAACTTAAAATCGAGTCGTATCAAATCCTCGTTGTTTTCAAATTTATGTGATTTTTGTGTCGTGTAGTTAAGCACTCAAAAGCAAAAATTGCATTACCACCTATCATGCCCAAAGACATGACCCTTCAAATTTTCGTAATTTGAAGATATGCCATGTTTCAAAAATAATTTAGAAACATGAAATTTAATTATTATGATTTTTTCGAACTTGTTTCTGAACGTTGTCTGTGTATTAGATAAATGCTTACATACAAAATTGTAGTACTCAAAATCTGACCTGAATATCTTGAAATTTGGAGGTATCGCATTTTATGAAAGCTATGAACAAGAAGTTTACTTAATAGTTTTTTTTCGTACTCTGTTTTATAGTCTTGATTGGATATTGGACATGTTAATTTTTTGTGTTTTAAGAGTTTTAGCTTTTTCCAACTACACGAAAACGATAACAATTAAGTTTATTTTAATGTCTCTTTTCTATTTGATCTGTGTTAAAACGCGTACACACAATTCTTTTAGTACTGCCTATCTCTCATTTCTGAAAATATTACCCTTCGAGGTAATGAATAGAGAGGTAGTTTATGAATAAATCACAATTTCTTGAAAATATACAGGAAGTTGGATTACATTCACTTAAAATTATTTGATTACATTCACTTCAAGTTACTTTTTCAAAAATTTTCCAAAATTTTTCCTTGTTATGTTATATCGCAAATGGTGCGACGAAGCCCCATATTTCTTTTTTGGAGATCGCTTTCTTTGAAAATTTAGAAGTCGACAGAAAATTTGTTTTTTTTTTTAAATTGTCTGAAACAAAAGACTAGGAAATGTTGAAACAGTTTTATTTGAATTTATTGAGCCACTGCTTTTCAGAATATATGTAGTATTTACAAAATCCAGGGGCGCCTTTTTTGATCTTCCACGCCATCATTGCGACTTTTCTTGGAACAAAAATATGTTCATTGCTCTGACGAGCTATAATTTCTTTCTCAACACATTCAGTGTGAAGCTCGGCTTGTTTTTCCTTCAGCTCTTCCAGCTCAGCTTGCATTCGCTCCGAGCCAAACTCTTGAATTTTTTGCTCAAAAACATGTTTGAAGTGTTGGTAAATTGCGTTGTCGGCATGAAGTCTTCGTCTAATTTCGCTTTCGGTCGACTGCTCAAAGCTGTTGTCATAACTCTGCTGACGAAATCTTTCGTACAATGAAATGTAAGTGATTTGTTCAGTTGATATTCCCATGAGATCTTTCAGCAGAATGAGACTTTCGTCAAAGAGCTCTGTGATCATAACTAGATTGAATGTTTCGTCCATGAAATTAATCGTTTGTTTGATATCTTCGCTGCTTACTGACAATGCCTTGTAAGGATCCTGGAAGAAAACTTAAAAATTTGAAATCAGAAAGTTTTTAGATCTAATAGTTTTCTTGATATTAAAAAAAGAATATAAATGCCTGAAATTAAATGGTAAAAAGACCCTTGTCTACAGCTCAAAAAACGCACGTACTATTTATCGTTCAAGACGGCTCATTACCCTTGCGATAAGCAAGCTATTGCAATCGGGAACTAGACTTTTTCCGTAAATAACTTTGGTCACGCACGTAAAAATATTACATGTGTTTCAACTTGCTTCATAGTAAATGAGTTTTTTGATATTTGATTTCTGAAATTTTGTTTTTATTAAATTTTAACCCATTATTTTTCTAGGCATTTTATTTGGAAAATAAAGACAAAGCAAGCCTGAAGTCCTAGAATTATATCAACTCTAATTTTCGGTAATTTTGTTGAAAATTGCTAGACGATTTTGCTGTTTTACTGTGTCAATTTGAGTTGTTGTCTGCTAATTTTCCCGATACACCTTTATTTCTTAGTCTTACTTAGTTTCAATGCGTTAAAACAGTAAGGAAACAACGTTTTATTCCTTTTTAACGTTTTTTTGTTGTCATTTTGTTAAAAAATTTTCTGTTTTTTTTTTCAAGTCCAGATAATATTGAGACGTTTTTGGACTCAATGTTTCTTTAAATGGTTTAATGACGCGCATTTCTTAAATTTTATATCAATATTAGTTCAATTCCCTTGTTTTGTTTGTTCTAAGCCATTGTCGTTTTCTTGTTTTTTTTTAACTTCTTTGTTTGACTAGTTTGTTTTTAATACTTCGTTTTCATGAATACTTCGTTAGTTTTAGAGCAATTTTTTGTTAGAACAAGAAAAATAAAAGATTTTGAATTGATTTGTAATTGTTTTTGAAATTTATCAATTTCAATAGTTTGATGTTTTTAGAAACTTCTTGATTTTTTTCAGGTGAAGTGTTTTGTTTGTTTAGTCTTATTTGGTTTGGTTCTTGTGTCTTATCTGAAAAAATGTCTGAATTCGTTTTTTTCCAGCAGTGTGCTATTTACAAGTAGTTTCATTGTGTCTTCTGCTTAGCGGGCATGTTTAAAACGTCCGTTGGTTTTATGAGTTTTGCTTGTTTATTTTTGAAAAATGGTTTTGCAACATTTTCGTATCTGGCATTTTCCTATTCTCTGATTGGCCTCTGTGTAATAATTGACTTCGAATTGACCAATCATAAATTGTTGTAAAAATTCTAAGAGTTTAGGGGCATATATTTTTTTCTTTAATGGGTAGCTGTAAACAGCGTCGGTAGCTGTAATAATATTTGTTTTGGCATTTGATTTTTTTATAATGGATGAAAACTAACCTTTGATTTTTGGTAGAATTGGCTGAAGTACCAGTTGCCCAAGATTATCCGCAGCTGCTGCATATAAGTCCCGTTGCCAATAATCTTAGAGAGAATCGAATCATAACTGTTCATAACTTTCGACACCAATTTTTTCGGATCAGTTTCTTCAGGCAGAATATTTTTTCGATCTTTCAACGTGCGAGTTAACTTAGGACTATCCATTTTAAAGAAAATTTAACTTCGTGGTTTTGAAGTATTTGTTTTTTTTTTGTTTTTCCTTAGATGTAATGGTCCTTGTATGAGTTGTTTGTATAACTCCTTAAATGATACTACAAAATTATGAGCAATTTTTTGTATTCAGGAGGGACTTTGTATTCAGGTGTTTTAGTTTTTTGTTTTCCACGGAGGTACCACAAATAATCATCGGACTGGTTCGAGTGATAACATCATATTAAAACCCTCTCAGTCGTGATTCGAAGCGAGCAGGCTTACAACAGCTGACTTAAGCCTAATTTAAGACCTTAAAACTTATTTTTAATCAAGTAAAACTAGTTTTTGGAGTTTTTTTTATCTTCATTTTGGGAACCAAAAACTACCCTAATTTAGAAAAAAAACTTTCTAAACCGTAGTTTTCTAAAGACTATGGTCGGAAAATTCTGTGCCACTTGCACGGTAACAGGCTATCCTTGTTTCTAAATTTTGATTTTTCTGATAAGAAATCCCGTTTTCCACATATCCATTTTAGTTATAATTTGTATGCAGATGATAGCCAAATTCATTTGGACAGTCTTAATTTAAAACGTTTACCTTTGAACTTGTAATACACGACACGAGATTCAAAAGATTCGGGAATATCTCGAAGTATAGTTATGTAAATCGACTTCTTTGTTTTTGGAATCAGTTCCTCGTCTTTGAGAAAATTCATGTGAAATAAAATAACATCAGGATCATTTGTTCTAGTTTGCGATGCGAGAAAAGGTTTTTCGAGATAGGAGAAAAAGTTACGTCCATTTTTGGGTACTGCAACTCTAAGGCTGTTGTACAAAGCGTGTCTGCACAGAATTGACTGAATGGTGGTTGAGGCAGTTTTGTGGGTTTTGACGAAGACTATTTTTTTTGGCGAAGGATGCCGTTGGCGTAACATCTGGTCAAAATGCTTGCTATGTGTCGCATTTTTTCCGTCTTTGAACCGCTGAACCACCAGAATTCTGAAATGTTTACGACCGATTATCTGAAAGGAAAAGGACAAATATAATCACTGCGGTTTCACCCTATTTATTAAAGCGGTTATTTACTTTTAAAATAGCTGTCTAGAATTATCTGATTTGATTGTTCCAATCACGAACTATGACTGAGGGTATGTTTTTAACCAATTTTGTCTGTCTTACAAAGCTTGAAAGGGATCAACTGTGGTATCATATCAAAGCCCTATTGTTTGTGATTCGGATTTAAAAAAACTATATCTGAGTGAAAACTGGGTCTGAATTTTTGCCTATTCAGACCAAAATTGGTCTGAAAATTGGTTCGACTATTTTTGACTTTCGGTCTAATTTTTCGAATAATTGTTATTTACCCTCAAGCAGATGTTAGCAAATTTCTTAATAGCGCGCGACTCCCGTCCCCTCAAACAGTAAACATTTCGAAAAAATAATACTTTTTTTCGTAATTTTTCTTGTTTCAATGTGATTAGAACAGTATGCTACTTGCGCAGCAATCGGCTAGCCCGTTAGTTTCAAATTTAAAGAATTGGTCGAATCGCAAATTTTAAAATTATGACGACTTTCGATCTAGTTTCTTCAAAATAACTGGGTTATTATTCACTTACCCTAGGTTGCAAACTAAAAAGGTCAGGAAAATCAATTTCGCCAGGCTGCTTGTCTTTTTTGGCAAACATCGATAGACGCCACAGCAAAGTCTAATTAGAAAAGACATGGCACGATATATTTTCAAGCAAACTATTCTGACAACATTGATGATAGTTTTTGTTTTGGGCCAGGCGGGGGGCCTTTGTTGCAGAGAAATCCTGAATGCGTTGATAAATTTATGTTTAAGATTCATTCAATTTTAAAAATCGCTTATACAAAAGCTAGTAACGTATCGAATTTAAAAATGAATTTTTGTTTAGCTGTGCTAAACCATAATTTGAATAAAATGAAATTTTAACAATAAAAGCGGCTAAATTTGCTGAGAATGTTAATCATTTTTAAAGATCGTTCATTTCAGATAAAAAAAAGATGCCTCCTACTGCAAAAGGCGCTGCGCAGAGATTAAAGACGAAATTTAACACTCACATTGAATCAGGAAATTTCTACGAAGCTCATCAGCTATGTAATACCCTGTTGTTTCGGTACACCAATTCTGAAAACTACGACGAAGCTCTCGATTTGATAACTTCCAGTACCCATGTTTTCATTGACCATAAAATATACCATAGTACTTTCGACTTATTGAATCAGTATGTTAATTTGCTAGAAAAGTCGGGGCAGTTCAGCAATAATGAGAGGGTTATGGAGTTTAAAGCTACCCTTAGTCGCCTATCGTCACATGAAGACGAACGACTTGCTGTTATAAACTCGGCAATTAAAAAATCGAAGTCGCCTAAAATGACCCGCGGAAACCCAAATTTGCACTATCATTTGGCTAAATTATACGAAGAGGAGTTTCAACTTCAGAAAGCTAGATATCATTACATTTTTTCAAATGACCCCAAAAAATGTGCGTTGTTTTGTATAAAATTATCACACGCGGGTTTAGCATCCGAAGTTGCCCTTTTTGCTACACAAGCAGTGTTGCAGTATTTAGTCATCGTAGAAGTTGAATATGCGAAAACATTTCTGGAGGTTTATATTCAATGCCACCCAAAAATTGTCACAAAGTTGGCGCCTTTTGATTATCCTTTGCTGAATTTTTGCTATTTTCTGCTGATACACATTCCAGAAGGTAAAATTGACAATTATTTGCGTCTGACATCAACTTACGAAAAGTCGTTAAAAAGGGATAAAAGTTTTGCGCCGTGTTTGGAAAAAATTGGCGCGAATTATTTTGGACTCGCAGTGCCCAAAAAGACGGGAAGCGGGGGATTAATGGGTTTATTGGACTCGCTATTTGATAACATGAGCGAGGGTGATGTGAAGCTAGACAATGAAGAATATTTGTCGGCCAGTGAAGACAATCAAGAAGAACCCGACCTGGATTCGAACCAGGACTCGAAGCGAGTTAAAATGAGCGAGCCCAGAATTGAGGCTTCTGATCTAGATTAGTGGAATGTATTGTAATCGGTAATTATGTATTATGTTGTAACTAATATATTCGGTTGTTTTCAATGATGATATTTTAACTCAATTAAAGTTATGAATGAGTTTCTGTTTCCTAATTTTGCATTTCTTTAATGTGCGCTATTTTTCTTACTAAAAATTTTAGAACTCACTTTAAAATCAAAAGTCAGGCTGAAAGTTTCTTTTCATTTTCCTAAGTTGAGACCAATGGAGCTACGAAACTTCAAACTTTTTTTGAATCCTATTTTTTGGGTTATATTTCTTTTTTTTGTGCCTTGAGCGTTTCGTTTTCTGCGTATCATGAGTTCCTTATTTTATGCTGTTTTCAGCACCAGTTTCTTTTAAATGGGTTTCATTTTTAAGAGAAACGCGTATCATTAATTCTGAGTTTTCATGAGTGATTATATTCGAAATTATTCAAGTGGCAATGAATGATGTGAAGAAAGTCATAAAAGTGTGTCAGGAAACTTTTATACGGGTGTCTTAATTATCAGAAAAATGAAAACTTTTGCCAAATAGCATAAAACTAAATTTTTGTTAAAAAACGTTATTTATTGGAGTACAAAACTCGAGAGCAAGAAATGAACGTTATTGCTTCCAAAAAACTACGGAAAGTTGTTCTCAGGGAAAATTGAAGGGTTTGTATTTTGACATGTATTTCAAAAATTATTTCGAAGTAATTTATTTAAATCAAGAAATTGGTTGAGAACTAAACTGTGTTCCATTTTCCAAACTGTTTTTCGTTCGTTAAAGTTACAATTGCATCGAATTTATGCCATTTGGGAATTATACCATATGAAAATTACAATTTTTTTTTTAAGTTTAGCTGTTTATGCTCAATTTTATTTCTTTGAGATCACTTCAAAATATAAAGGAAAAGTTTGCTTCCCAAAATTAAAATTTAAAATTTTCAGAAAAATGCAACTTAACTTCTAATTTTTGATGTGCATTTTAGAGTTTAAATTTTCGGCGAAGTGAAAATTTTTTTGATCGTGTTTGCTAAATTTGGCCTATTTTTGTTTCACTTGCGAGAGCAAGTGACTTTCAATTGGGAAGTAGACTGTTTTTCTCCCGTAAATAACTTTTCTCATTTCGATTGAGATTAGCAAGCGTTATCAAATCAGAGTATAGTTTTTTTAACTCTTCTGGTTAACAAATCGCTTGCTTGATTTAACTTGAATTCAATTTATTGGTATCTGCTACCCAATTCGCGTAGAGGTATTGAAGTCTTAGGTTTGATTCCGGGCAGGACCTGTTCTTTTTGTAAAGTTTCAAAAATGTTTTTGCCTATCATTTCTCATTATTGTCGGCCTATCTGTTTTGTCGGCTTTGCTGCCATATAGGAAATTTCTTGAGCTGTAAGCAATTTTCATTTTAGTTGCAAGTGTTGTTCAATGTAGTTTCGTAGATCTTTTATATATTTCGGCTCAGTATGTGTCTGCTCAAAGATAATCGACTTCATTGCCACATCACGTATCTTTTTTAGAATATTTAAAATCTATCTATTATATATTTAAGTGCGGACTTCGCTATGTTGCCATATTTAAGCTTTTTCAAGGTATTATTTTTGCATGTTTTAAAAAAAAGCATTTTTGCACGTTTAAGCTAGATCGTATAATGAAATGGTAAAATTCCTGTTTGATTTATTAAACAGGTATTATGAAAACGTTTTTTTTTTCCAGATGAGATCTGGTTTTTTTATTTTTATTTTTTTGAGACGCTTTTTCGAAAAATTCGATTTCCCAAAAAACTACCCGTCAGATTCTCATAAAAGTGGTACCAATGGATTCAGTAGCGTTTCACCTACCTGCCTGCATAAAATTTAGGGCAATTTTTACCCTACCCCATCCCCTACGGTCTTAGAAAAGCTTCACAACTCGGTACTTTTTTCACTTTTTGCCCATTTTTTCGGAAATTTTCGATTTCCTCAAAAACTACCCGTCCAGATTTGGGATTAAGGGTTTAATCGATAGACCAGGTTGTAGGAAACTCCCCCGCACAAGCGGCTGGTCCTTAACTTGCCTAGGGGAAGAGCTATAGACTTAGGAAAAGTCACTTTTTTGGCCTTTTTTCAAATCTTTCCGAATTCCTCAAAAACTACCCGTCCAGATTTGGGATTAAGGATTTAATCGATAGACCAGGTTGTAGGAACCCCCCCTACACAAACGGCTCGTCCCTAATTTGTCTAGGGGAAGAGTTATACACTTAGGAATAGTCAATTTTTCGGTTTTTAGGCCATTTTTTCAAACTTTTTCGATTTCTTCAAAAACTACCCATCCAGATTTGGGATTAAGGGTTTAATCGATAGACCAGGTTGTAGGAAACTCCCCTGCCCAAGCGGCTGGTCCTTAATTTGTCTCGGGGAAGAGCTGTACACTTAGGAAACGTTTTTTTAAAAGTTTTTTGGCATTGGAACAAAGATTCAATATACTTATTGTGTGTATTTTTTAGACAATGGAATCCGCTATGCTTACGTTTTCTCGCTTTTGCTTGGTGCTATTGGCTTTGTGTTGAGTTTTTTTTGTATGGTTCGAAGAAGTCCAACGAGAAGTTGCACGAGTTACGCTAGTTCTCTTTAATCAGGTCGGTTTGTTCCAGAACGTTTTTGTGATGTCAGTTATAGTCAACATATTATAGTCATATTTGCAATGCTTGGACAAAATTTAATTAATTCGAAAATTAAAGAGTCGTTAGAAAAATGAAAAATACTTTATTTCATTAATGTTAGCTGGTTTGTGAAACTCACATTTCACTTAATTCTAGTGAATAATTATTCACATTGTTGAAGCATTGTGCATATGATTTTATTTTAAATATATTTAGCATGTAACCATGATTGATACGGTTTGCCTTGTCGCACTGTGAAAGGCCCGTTTAATTCACATTACGGTTGCCTTGTCGCACTGTGAAAGGCTCGTTTAATTTTAGTACGGTTTGCCTTGTCGCTCTGTGAAAGGCCCGTTTAATTCATATTACGGTTGTCTTGTCGCACTGTGAAAGGCTCGGTTTATTTCTATTACATTGTGGGTTTACAGCAAATCTAAATAGTCTTATTCTATATCTTGTCACACTTTCAGAAAAATGGCTCAGAAAGAAATTGACAACACTCAAAAAGTTGTTGACAATGTATTCTAGTCTATCCAGACAATGTATTCTCGTCTTTTTTTTTGCGTAGGAAGGGCGCTATCGACTTGAGAAACCTGAAATTTTAAAACAATTTTAAAATAATCAATATTAAAAAAATCAAACAGGTCTCTCCAGCTTTCAGCTGGGCCCTGTGACATCCCTTCATGATGTCATTCATTCTAATTAATCATTTGAACCGAATAGATTACATAATTCACCTTGATGATAAAATAGAGCTGCATCATATATTTATTTAACTATGTAAACATTGATGGTAATTAATACCAATCATTGGAATCTTATATCGAGCTAGAAATCAATTGGAGACAAATCAACTGAATAAAATATCCTAATCATGCTCTTATTTGCGCCGATCGGCTTGAGAGATATCAGAAGCTAGGAATCGGAACCAGCATCCTTTAAAGCAAGATAGGTCTTAACCGCTCGAGACATATCTAAAATAATGAATCCAATCTAAATACAATTGATAGCCAGTAGCGCTAAATAAAATTACCAATTGAACAGCTCGCATCCCACTCCTTGAAATGGGCATTAACGAGCTAATTCAGCAAAATCGTGATAATCAGCAGTCTCAACAGCAACGCCAACCCGAGTATGAAAAATTTTGGTTTCCTACACCTGAAACATGTCAAAACCCTGAATTACTTCCCCAAATCCAACGTGACATTTACGACCAAATTCTTCATTTTCAAGGTCTCGAAAAAATTGAACCGAAAAGAAACTTTCAAGATCGATTGACATTTATCAAGAATTTTAAGTGGGAGAATTCGGTGTTGACACAAGAGCAAAGGTCAAAAGTAGAAGATTTGCTTGTTGAATTTTCGGACATCTTCGCCAAACATAGATTTGATGTTGGTTACAATTCCGATCTCAAAATCAAACTGAAACCGGAACACACACGACCTTTGTACACACAAGGCCCACCTACGCCGATACATTTGCGACGAGAACTTCTTGGTGAACTTGACGAATAAAGCGCAACGAGCGTATCCAACGCAAGATTTGCCAGCTGTCGAACCAATCGATGTTGCATTAAACGGAGCACCATTAGTAGCAGACACGGCCAGATTTCATCGAGAAACTGCACAAAGACAAGAAAGAATAGATGCAGTAAATGATAATCGCAATGAACAAGTTAGACGATTGTTCATAAAAGGAATGCCAAACTGGCTACGATCAAAATTGATGGATCAACCACAAGCAACTACTGTCCAAGAATTGTGTAACTTGACAAAGAAGCAAATCATGATTCGAGAAGTATGCCGAAAAGAAGATTACCCGGAAGACGGATTTAATGAAGTAAACGACGAAGTCTCAGAAAATTTAATAAGCGCTATCACAAAATTGTCCACAAATCAGGAAAAAATGGAGAAGCAGCTTAACGAAATGAGATCACAAATAACTGAGCAGTCGAATAAACAATCGAATCCGCCTTTTCAACAAAACAAGAACAGCACCAACCAAAATGGTCAGTTTAGTGGTAATCAAAATCAAAATAATTTGCCTGGACAGCAACAAAGTGGCAGGAAAGGAAAAAACAGAAATAATTGGCAAAATCAATTTGGATTTAGCAATAATCAGCCTAATTTCCAAAATATGGGACCAATTGCACCTCAGCAATATCCTCCATGGTACCTATACCAACAGTACCAAAATATGCAGCAAAATCAACCGATAGTGCAAATCCAACCAGCACAGGTACAGCCAAACACAAACTACACTTCTGCCAGACAGTCGCCAAAAAGCCCAATTAAACCATAAAGAATCCAATCATTTCCAGTCGTCAGTAAGACTGAGGGAAAATTGTCCAAACTCACACCAAATGACTTCAAATTCAATCATATTCCGAATCATAATCGTAGAATTACTTCACTTATACCTCTTCACAGTATCAAATGCATTCACCATCAGAGCCCCAGCCCTGAAACGAAACA